ATCTGGGACTGAGAAGAAGGTAACTCTAGGTACTAATACCTGGTCCTGATTTGTTGGTTCAGTGTTTTGTTTGTTGGTCTCTCTTTCCTCTTTGGTTTTTAGGAGAGTGTGCTGACTGTATATTAATTGTAGGAAAAGCTTCTGGGATCTTGAAGATAAAATGTGTTTCTGGGCATTGGGAGCTGATACTTAGGAATGGAAATGGGATTCATGGGCATTTCAAGTGAGAGGAAAGTTGGGTGTTTCCCTATTCTCTGCTCTGTTAGTCCCTTTGGAATGGGGCCAGGGAGTGAGGCAGAGCAGAATATCTTCTAGACAACGAGGGATGAGACTAGGGGATTGGTCTTGGAAAGAGGAGAAAAGTAAAATCTGAAGCTAGCCTATCTTCTGTCCTTTTCTAAGAAATATAAATTGCACTGATGTAATTCGAAATGAAAATAAAGTATCCTGACTTATTACGAATTAGGTGAGGGCCAAGGCAGTCCAGACACACCCACAATTAGAACCTATTCAGAACCAAGTGTCTCCTCCCCTGATCTGAGGAAACTTAAAGACCCCAGAGTAAACGAGAGGATGTGTGATAAGGGTCTCTCACTAAAAGGGAATAAAGGTGCTGATAACTCTAAAATTAATTCACTTGTTTCTTGGCACATTCTTGCCCAACAGGCTGTTCCTGGGATGTTTCAATGTAATCGGTCCTGGAGACAAGGTCTAGGAATACACACAGGGTTATGTTTGGATGATAGATTTTTTTTTAAGTTTACTTTCCTACTTATGCTTTTCAGAGTTTTCTGGCTGTTTTCTTTCTGAAAAATACACTTCATTTTTTTAAAAAAAATAGCTTAAAGATGAGCTTGAACCCTCTTTTGCCTTTGATTTCATTCTCTTCCCTGCTATACCAAGTTTTAATGCATTTAGGACTTCCTTATTCTGTCATTATGAACAGAAGCAATATTTCCACTCCATGCTTCAACACTGCCTCCTGTCCATTTTGCCTAATGTATTCAAAATTGTTCCATCTCATGGGACTGTTTGCTCAGGCAAGGGAAAAAAAAAAAGACCTTTCCTTCGGGACACAGGTTTTTTGTTTACTCTGGATAGTGGCTGAGATAAACACCAGCCTTTGCTGACACTACAAACAGCAACAAGCTCTCACTGTAACCCATGAGTCATCTTTCTCATTTCTCTGTCCATAAATAGCTGCAGATAGAACCTCGGTCTTCAGAAGCCTGTGCGTGTGAGTGAGGGTTGTTCCTGCTCTCTCAGACCTACTCCTGGGTACTCAGCTTACTGCTTAACTGGTTGTCTCTTTAGCCTTAAAGATTGTGGGGGTGGTGTGGGGAGATTGGGGCCAAACGTAAAGGGAGCTTGCAAAGAATCACAGACACACTGAAGGCCTGAGTGCAGTTCACTTGGTACCAAGTCCTTTCTCCCAAACCTTTTCCAGGGCAAGAGTTATTCCTTCTATCAACCAGACAGGCATCACTGTCCACTGAGCCCAAGTCACATCCATTCGGTGCCAAGTCAGAAAGTTACTATTGGACTGAGGAAGCCAGACACTTTCAAAGATAGAAATGATGAGTAAATCAGATACAGCTTTGTACACTTTCAGGAGCTTACAGAGAAGGGGAAGTTGAGTCACCCTAAAACTGGAAATCCAGTGAGTTCTCTTTTTGAGGCTGAATTGAAGAAATGGTCAGATAATGACCTGAGCAGAGAATGAGACAGACTTATGAGAGCTTAGACTCTCGAAGGGTGTTGTGGACCTATCTCACCCTCTCACAGTGAGTGTGCTGTGAGTCTTCATCTCTAAAAAAAAATGTGAAATCTCAAGGCAAAGGAATATTTGACTATATTGCTGCTCTAGGGAGAATACTGGTATGGGGTGATTACGGAAGAATATCTTATTGATAGAAAACCAGTAAATCTGCCGTAGTCATCTGAACCTAAACAATGCGCCCATGAGTATAATAAGTTGTATATGTGCGTTTCCAGATTGCCCAGGTATAGAACTAAGCTCACGAATGAACTTGCAGCTGAGAGGGTTAATTTAAGGATATTTCTCTAGCATTAAAAGAATGAAGAGGATGCAGTAGTGTCCCCTGTTCTTTATTTTCTCTGACAAGCAACCATGAAAGGCATGGATGTTTTAGGAACTGATCTCTCTCTCTCTCTGTCTCTGTCTCTGTCTCTGTCTGTCTGTCTCTCTCTCTCT